ACCCCTGCCCTAGAGCATCTTGGTCAGATTGTATCATCTTCAGTGAAGTGTTTGACATCAACACATAGTAAATTATTAAAACTACTAGAGAACATCATCATCATCATCATCATCATCAAACCATTATCATCATCAATATTATTTGGTGTAAAAACGCTAGGGTCGTATTGTAAAAAAAACATTTACTATATAGGGTGTCCGAGAAATAAGTGCCAAAAGTGCTAGGCATTTAACTTATCAACAGCAGCAACTGTTTTCCAATAATTTTGTTCGACAACCAACATTAAAATAACATATATTTTTTTTAATTACACGCCACTAAACCGAAATGCTTAGTTGACTTAATAATAAACAGAATGAAGAACATAAAATGGAAATCAAGATATCAACATTCCCCTTTTACTGTAATAAAGTAACAAAATTGCTTATTATCTCCTGAAATACCTTCTCTAATACTTTTAATATAGTTAGAATAGGCCTTGGATATCAGCGTTTCTATTATTTTTCTAAAGCGTTGAAGATCTTAAAAATAAACATTATTAAAACACTCTGTATATGAAACGTGACCTCCAATACAGTCTTCACATAATTAATAATAAGTACTTCACGTTTATCGAGTTTAATTTTAGAACAGGATATTATTCGCTTTTACTACTGTACCTCACACCACAATTTTTTATCGTTAGCAACTGACGATTCGATTGTTTTTAAACCCACAACTAGCATCGCTTCACTGAAACGCAATTACTGTCATTAAGTTAAACACCAAGCAACCTTAGCATTATCTTAAAAAACGGCGAAGGATATTTTTTTGTAACTTCGACAAACAGACTCCATTAATCCTATTACAATAATCAGTAGTACTATTTTTTCGAGAAATTCATTCTGCAGTTAGTAATTAATGGATTAATTAGAGGTAGTTGACCGCAACAGAGCAATTGTCACGTTCGAATTCGCACAATCTTTCGAACTAATTAAACAGCAAGGTTTCGTTACCGCACATTAAATTATAATAGTTGATAATTTGTTGTTCGGATACTACAGTTTCATTTGTATTTGAATTCATCAAAATAAATTATGTTTACCTTAAAATTTAAAAAAATATCTGCGTTCAAGCATTATAAACTGAATGGTCAAGGATCAATGATGTCTTTTTAAGTTATAATGAGAAAATATCAATTACCGAATGCAATTAAAAAAGTTTGGAATAAATTGATTTTATATAACCAAAACAAGAAGATATATTTTTAATTTGAAAGGAACAAAAATTGCATATTATTACTTTTTTAATATGAAACGCCATTGAAAGTTTCAAGTTCACTGTTATTTATCCTTATTGTGTTTTATAAATCTTCTATCAACTACAGTGAATTGAATAGTTGCATGATATATACAGGGTGATTTATTAACAATAGGAAAGTCGAAAGCTGAAGATACTACACGTGAAATAGTGACCATTGGCGCAAACATGTCTTATCCGAAAGTTAATAGTTTCGGAAATACGATATAACTTTCTGCCAACGTAGACTTTTCTCGATAATTTCCATGTAAAATCTAGTTTCAAAATTGATTTATATTTTCCAGAGTCTTCGATATATCCCTCAGCTACAGAAGACGAACGCTACCCACCGTGTCTTTTAATATACTATTATATTACTGTCTATAAAATATTTAAAAATTGTAGTAAAAGTTATTATTGTATGCATGGTAGTAGAAAAGAATCAAAGATATAATGGAGTTTACTTTAATTCTTTACTACATGATTGTCATTTATGGTATATAGTTACTTACAGGGTGATTCATTAACAATGGGAAAATCGAAAGCTGAAGATACTACACGTGAAATAGTGACCATTGGCGCAAACATGCCTTATCCGAAAGTTGATAGTTTCGGAAATACAGGGTGTTGAATGTTAAAATTTTAAATCGTTTTTTTGCGATTATTCTGAAAATAGTTAGGTTAGGAACTTGAAAATTTGTGAAACTATATTTTTTTGGGCGACGAATACGATGCTTGTTGTAATTTCAGCATTGCTCATAGAGGGCGCCACTTACAACCAATTTTACCGAAAATTGAGTTAATAACTTTTTACCCTGTATGTCTAACATGAAACTTGATTCAAAAGCTGAAACAGCTATCATTTTTCCATTAATTAGGTATTCTTATTTCATTTCGGTATCTTGATCCGTTTTCGAGAAAAATCGATTTGACGAACACTATGTTTTGATAATATGAGAAATTAAAAGCGAAACAAACCAAGTGTTTCTTCATGTTATTACAACAATTAACAATAAAACAAATAAAATACGTAATTATGATTTAAAGTAATTGTTCGAAGAATCCACCGTTGACACTGATACACTTTACACGTTTTCTGAGAGATCTTCGAGTTTGAAACAACATATTGGGATTGCGTCTGACTTCGTTGGCAGCGATTTGTATTCTTTGCCACAACTCTTCACACGAGCCAATAGATTCTTTGTAAACTATATCTTTCATTCGAGACCAAATATAAAAATCAAGAGGATTGAAGTCCGGACTTCTGGATGGCCAATCAAAAATGATTACATGGCCAATCTAGCGACTTGGAAAAACTGCATCTAAATATGCACGCACTGGCCAAGAAAATTGCGGTGGAGCTCCGTCGTGCATGAACCACATGTCTCTTCTTAAATAAAGTGGAACTTCTACAACCGTATAAAGTTTGTTTCGCTTTTAATTATTATCAAAATATAGTGTTCGTTATCTCGAAAACGGATCGAGATACCGAAATGAAACAAGAATACACAATTAATGGAAAAATGATTGCTCTCAAACTCAAGTTTCATGTTAGACATACAGGGTAAAAAGTTATTAACTAAATTTTCGGTAAAATTGGTCGTAAGTGGCGCCCTCTACGAGCAATGCTGAAATTACAACACGCATCTTATTCGTCGCCCAAAAAAATATAGTTTCACAAATTTTCAAGTTCCTAACCTACATATTTTCAGGATAATCGTAAAAAAACGATTTAAAATTTTAACTTTCAACACCCTGTATTTCCGAAACTATCAACTTTCGGATGAGGCATGTTTGCGCCAATGGTCACCATTTCACGTGTAGTATCTTCAGCTTTCGATTTTCCCATTGTTAATGAATCACCCGGTAACTATACACCATAAATGACAATCATGTAGTAAGAATTAAAGTAAACTCCATTATATTTTTGATTCTTTTCTACTACCATGCATACAATAATAACTTTTACTACAATTTTTAAATATTTTATAGACACTAATATAATAGTATATTAAAAGACACGGTGGGTGGCGTTCGTCTTCTGTAGCTGAGGGATATATCAAAGACTTTGTGGAAAATATGAATCAATTTTGAAACTAGATTTTACATGGAAATTCTCGAGGAAATTCTACGTTGGCAGAAAGTTATATCGCAGTCCAGAGTGCATCATTAGAAGAGAACGTTATTTTAAAACTGAATTCTATTGCTCCAATAAATTTAATAATAATAATATTTATTGAAATTGTAATTTTCATTTTCTTTAATAAAAATTGAGTTTCTCAGGAAAATTTGAACGATCAAAGACAAATCATTGTAAGTCACATGTGTAAACAGTCTCTTTATTTCCCTTACACGAAATTTGAAAACATTCCCTTCACTCGTATTCATAACTACACCCTTTGTGCAATACAGAATCACTTTTTACACTTATATCTCAAACAACTATTATACAATAATAAGTGTAAAAAGTAAGAATTTCTGGCAAGTGACGTGAAAATTGTTGGCAATAAATAGAGTGCCAAAAAACACTTTGCACAAATTACATAATTTATTGGTTGCTGGAAAAGTTGAGAGATAAGAAACTCTCTGGAGACTAAAGTGAAGGTAGTAGAAACAAATTTAGACAAAAAGAAAAACGAACTTCCGTGTGTTTTAATAATAATTATCGCATTTCTGAAAAAAGTAATACCAATGAAGTTAATTTATAATACAGAACATTGATTTGAATTGTTCTTTATTAGTTTTGCACTTTTAAAGTATTAAAAAGTAAGATAAAAGATCAAATCCAAACTTTTTCCAAAATTCTCAACAGGGTCGTATATATATTCTTTGCTACCATCTGGTACATTTGATTTGAATTTGAATTATCGTAATAACTGTTAACAGAACAACAAGAAATTTGAAATACCTACCTAAGATCTCTAACAAATTGGAAGAAACAACTTGAAACGAGATATTCACGCATGCATGCATTAAAAAATATATTTTTAATAAAAGAAATAAGGGAAGATGCAGACATTAAAATATACAATAGTTTTCCTGTCTATACTCTTGTATGGGTGTGAATTCTGTGTAGTCGCGGAGAAATTAAAATCTAAGATAACTGCGGCAGAGATAAGGGGAATTAATGGCGTTGAAGAATGGTCAAGAAATGTTGGAATAAGTATAACCTTAGGAGCGGCAGCATTCATATACAAAATAGGAATTAGACATCGGACATCTTCCAAAAAATAACTTAATAAAACAATTTTAAGATGTTGGATGAGAAGCCAAAGAAGAGGAAAGACTAGGTGTACTTGGAACCAGAAGAAATGTTGACAGTAAATAAAGTATAACATGGAATGAAGCCAAAGACAATGGAGAAAGTCTATGCAACAGTGAAACCTGAAATAACACCCCAACACTTAACGGTAGAAGCTTCACAGGATAACTACCTAACTATTACTTGTTAAAGTACAGGAAATTGTTTTATTAACATTTATTTGTAATAAATAAAAGTTGGTTCCTTACAGTGTTATTTTCTAACTTCATTATTTATTCCAGTTGTCACTTTTTCGCACTAGATCTAAAAATCTTTAGTATCTCACACTAATATTAAAAAACTACATTTTCCGCAGTTGATACATAAATAATCATTTTGTTATTCTCTACATTTATTATGTTTACATAAATTTAATACAGAAGTAAAAAAGTGTGCAAATATATATTTTTCTGTTTCCAGGAATCATCGTGTTCTCTGTCAAGGACCACCACTCGTGGAAAATCCGTCACTCAAAAACTATGAAGGCTGAACCAACCGCAACCACCTTCAGAGTTAAAGAAACGATCGTCTCTGACCCGATCAACATCGCCGGTATCGCCCTCGGTCCCAAAATCCACACCAGCGACGACCGCATCATCGTCAACGAAGACAGAGAAGTCTTCTTCAGTCCCTTGTCCAGTCTACATCTTTACTCAGTCAACACAACAGTCTTAAGGAACGAACAAAATGGCATGAATGATGGCGAATATCAAGGGGAACTAAAAGACCATGGCTTAAAAGCATCTCAGTCCATCGGAATGATCATGGACAACCAAGGAATACTGTACTATAGCTTGCTGTCCACTTACAGCATAGCCAGGTGGGATTCACACACTTCCTTCGAATCAGGCCAGAAGGTTATAGCCAGAGACGACAACTTCCTCGAATGGCCAAACTCCTTCACCTTTGATCAAACTGGAAATATCACTGTTTTGGTCAACCGCCTCAACAAATTTATATACGACAAACTCAATCTAGATGAAGTAAATTTCAGGCTCATCACTGCCCATGTCGGCGGTAAGAGCTATTTGTACGACCAAGAGTACGACTACCGGTTCGATCAGAATACAAGCACCACCAGTACAACACCTGTTGACTTGCCCGAACCCCACATGTTGCCTGGTACCGACCAGGATCCTTACCTCACACCAGTTCCACAACCAGAAGGCAAATTGGAACCTGAACCTGCCCCTGAACCTGCTCCTGAACCTTCTCCTGAACCTGTTTCGACATCTGAACACACTCCTGAACCAGAACCGACGCCAGAACCTACAGCAGATCATTCAAATGACACCACAATGGTGAATGAGACAGAGCATAACCATCAAGAAGGAATCGTCAATGATCAACCTATGAATGATCGACCTATGCATGATCAACCTATGAATGACCAACCTATGCATGATCAACCTATGAGTGACCAACCTATGCATGATCAACCTATGAATGATCAACGTATGCATGAGCAACCTTTGAATAATCAACCCATGAACGAGCAACCTATGAATGACCAACCGATCCATAGCCACCCGGCCAGTGATCATATGGACCACGATCACATGAACCATGATCACATGAATCATGACCATATGGAGCAAAACCAAACTAGTACTGTCCGTAATGATTCTGAAAATGAAATAGCTTCAGCTAATGCTGAAATGTCACGGAAGCTGAACGAAGGCACTTCTGGAACCACTAAATTAGTTGCGACATTCGTAGGAGTTTTGTTTGCTGGTGCCTTGTTCGCTCTGTGACTCTATTTATTAATAAAATGTGATACTACTTGTTATAAGAAGAATTGTCTGATCAATAGGGCCAGTAAGTAAGGAATGGGTGTTGTTAGAAATGCTTTACCTTTTCAAGATACGCCAAGCAATCGGCAGTAAGGTTTTTTTACAGAATATTTATTAGTTTAATATTGTCAACATAATGACAGATAAAAACATAAATACAATGTTACCTTCCGGAGATCAAGGTACCTTCACAAAAAAATTAATACTAACACCTAACACTAGAATAGTGGCTTATCTTGTTAAACTATCAAGTAATTACTGAATAATATTAACAAAGAGTTTCACTGAACCATTGGCGTGCCATAAAAATAGAAAATTTGTAATTGCCGTAATTTTGGAACTTTTGTTTGAACACAAAACAAAATAAATTTGACTGAACATTATAATTATACAAAATTGGAGGCTGTTATGGTCTAAAGATACGTTCGAGGTTATTGTATTTAAAACGTAGAAACGTTCGCTGGTAAAATAATATTACAAGTTGTGAGTTTTTGTTATGTGATGGTATACTAATAGTTTCAATGTCACTTATCTTGTTGACAACAGTATTTTTAATGGAGTACATTAATGTGCATATTTAATTTTAATTTACAAATCCTACAAATAAGAAACTATTTTACTTGTTTTATGGTGCAAAATGTAAAGAGGTGAAATTAAATCGACATCACAGAAAATTATTTTTTATTATAGGTACAAGAGATGTTGCCTACCTAATAAGCGTCGTGTATAAAATTAAAAATGATAAATAATTTTATGTGTATTGTCATATAAAATTCATTTAATGCTGTAATCAAATTTAATTGGGTAATACTTGTACAGAAAAATGTGTCTTTTTAAATAAATAGGTATTGACATTTGTTTTTATTAGGTACAGGTGTTCATGGTTACAAATTTATATTAAAATATAGTTGATAATGGAACAATATTTCAATATGTGAGAAAATAAAAATTGTTTGGGAAGATAGTTTATCTTATTTGTTTTTTCTTTTGTCTTATATTAGCTAGTTTTAGTTCCAATATCAGGGGTATATAAGCAATATGTAAGTGTGCTATTTCTGTAAAATAGGAATAAAATAATTATACTAGTTTAAGTTATTTTACTTATTTTTAAAACGTTTTAGATATTTTGTGATGGTAGCCGCATATTCTTATAGAAAACTAACTCATATGGAAATATTAAATTAAGATGCAGCCGTTTACTATCTTTAAATATGTATTTTACCAAAGTAATTATTAGTGTACACTGTATATTTTGTTATATAATATTTATATAAAATAAAGTTTAAATAGCTAGCATTTCCGTCAATTATATTTTCACCTTATACGTAATTTCTGTATTTTATACTTTTATTATAAAATTTACATAGAAAACCCAAATATATATGTTACTACAACTATTGAGACTTTCAGTAGTTCTGTGTTGTGAAAATGTTATTTGAAAAGATTTTCTTCTGTATGAACAGGGCATCTCACAGTATTCAGTTAACCATTAGAATATTCCACTTATTCCATTTAACACTTCCAATTATACAGGAAATTATTTGTAATCGAATTTCACATGCTTTTTTAATCAATGGATTGTCTTAGTTTCCTGTAATTTTGAATTTCGCCAATTTTTTAATGTGGAAACCTTAATAAATTTAAAAAAACAATGCATTTATAGATCTTAAAATATATTTCGAAAAATTAGAGATTTTTTACAAAAAACTTTATTTGGTTCTCTGCCTTATGAGTATAAACTAAAAATAAAAGAATTAGGTAGGCCAACACTACAATTAAATATTGAAGTTAGTGTATACACAAAAAGTGGGTGTGCGGGTGTGATATAAAAAATGCACTGTTTTGTTTTCGGTGGGGATAAAGCATGGACAATATACGGTGTGAAAGATTTAAGTCATTAAGTCTTTAGGTAAAATAAACATAAGAAGTCAGTTAGATTCTCCATATTGGGAAAATATACGGAAACACAATGAACAGGTAACGAAAAATCGTTATGTTTTAACTAGAATCATAGATTGCATAAAATTTTGCGGAGGTTTCGAATTAGCACTTCTCGGACACGACGGCGACGAGACAGAAAATTCGGACAACCCTGGTGTGTTTCGTGGACTCATAATTTTTAGTGCAGATCTTGACGACATATCAAAAGACCATCTAGAAAAGGCTACTATTTTTAAAGGAACTTCCAAAAATATGGAGAATGATCTACTACAGTGTATGCTTGAAGTGTGTAGAAACAACATAATAACTGAAATTAATTCGTCAAATATTATCTTGCTGTCAGAGGAAACTACAGATATTTCTTCAAAATTTCAAATGGTTGTTGTCTTGCGTTACGTACACGAAGGCAGTCTTATGGAAAGATTTTGGGGATTCATAAATCCAGAAAAGCACGGTGCTGAATCTTTAACACATTCTATTCGTTCCGTTCTTGACCCATTATTGAAAGAATATTATAATAAATTGATTACTCAAGCTTACGATGGCGTGGCTGTTATGAGCGGTAGGCATGCGGTGTTTTTCAATCTGTAGCAGTCATATTTGCGAGATCCACGGCTGTTTCAACCCTGAAGAGAAAAAAAATCGTTTAACCCTCGTAGCCTCTGAATTTTTCCGTTTCTACGATATGTGTGATTCCTTAGGCCATAAGTAAATCTCAGTATAAATTTCAATCTGAAGCAGTCGTATTTGCGAGATCCACGGCTGTTTTAACCCTGAAGAATAAAACAATCGTTTGACCCTCGTAGCCTCTGAATTTTTCGGTTTCCTCGATATGTTTGATTCCTTAGGACATAAGTAAATCTGGGTATACATTTCAATCTGTAACAGGCGTATTTGCGGGATCTACGTTTTTTTTTTCGATCCTGAAGAGTAAAAAATCGCTTGACCCTCCTAAATCCAGAATATTTCCGTTTCCACGATATGTACCTACAATTCCTTAGGATATAAATAAATCTCAATTTGAATCTGTAACATTTGTAAAACCTTAGATTTTTTTGTGAAATAACGTGATAGGTTAAAAAGTAATAACCTTAACAAATTTACTTTGTTTTATTTTTTATAACATATAATAATTTAACTTGTGAAGACTTAAAGAAGCAGAATAATATTAAAAATTTTAGGCCATTTTCAATAATAAACTGTCCGGTGTAAAAATTCGTTTCCCGAATCTGAATCCGTGGCTGTCTTCAGCAACATCACATGTTTTGTTTTTGTATAACCAGCTACAAACAAGAAAAATGTATTGTGTTCGAAATTCGAAAAGATATTAAATCTGTTATTAAGAGAGGCGAAGAACTGTTTAAATTCGAATCAGAATCTGCTATAAGTACTCCAAAAAATTTCCCGATGATGTATTCAAGATTACAGTTGCAGCATATCCAGTATTTGAAGTTGAACGTTTGCGAACTGAGTTTGACTATCATTTATATGAGGCCTGATTTTCGTGAAACCAATGCGGCTGTAGCTTTTTTAAATATGATTAGAGTTAATAATTTCGAACAAACATTTAAAGAGACCATCAAATTACTGGAGATTGTATCAATCCCAATGTCAACGGCAGAGGCGGAACGATGCTTCTCAACTTTGAAACCAGTGAAAAACTTTTTAAGAAATTCAATGGGTGAGGACAGGTTATCGGTACTTCCCATGTTGTCTATAGAGAATACTTTAATTAAAAATGACATTAATTTCAATGAAAAAGTAATTGAAATGTTTGCCAATACGAAACAACGTCGTATTGATTTAGTTTTCCAAAAATAACATTAAAGTGATGAGTGCTACTGTGATACCCGTGACAATATTTTTAAAAACTTGACCTCAACTTTAAAAACTCTGAGAACTTTGACTGCAGCTTGTCAATTTGGTAAGTTTATTTATATATATTTTTTCATGGCATCTATATAGGATTGCCACATAGGCATGGCCAGGATTTTCTGTGATTGTACCGGGAATTAGCTATACGGTCCCCGATTTCGGATTTGCACGTATATAGGATATAAAGATAAAGAAAAAATCATAACACAGCGAGGAAAATTAAAATTCGTTGAATCGTTGGTAAACTTCACAAACGATTATTTTGTTTATAAACAGTATTCAATAATTTAATAGAATATATTTAGTTTATTCCAATTTATTTATACCGTCGGTAAATAATTCGTGAATATATATTATTTCAAAAAGGTATCAAATTTCAAAAATTGTTCTTGTGAAAGTCTGTATTTTTATATAAATGGATTGTTCCTTGAAATTCAGAAGTGCTAGGAAAACGCATGACCTTGAAAATTTAGAGGTTCTTCGGGCAGACTTAATATCCCGAAATTGAATTCGACAAATGTCTCAATCAATTTTTGTTTGGTATTGAGAATAAGGTCTAGTCAGTTTAAACGTTTCATCACTGAAGATTAATAAATCTTCTGTGGTTTCATCTCTTACCACGGCATAAGGTACCTACATTTTAATATTACTATCACACATAGCTTCTGGGAGTGGGAAGTTGCGTGTTTCATTAATGACTATTCCAATGGGAGATTTAGCAAAAAATCCCACATCAGCCTCTTTTATACCAAAAGATCCAACATCAATAATTGCCAAGAACTTATTGAAATTGTGGTCAACAAGAGCAAGTAAATTTACAGAATAGCAAAAACAAAAATTCTGTGTTGCCAGGACAACGGATTCTAATATGCTTTCCATCTATGCTACCAACACAATGTGGGTAATTCCAATGTCGCCCGAAATCTTCTACATTTTCCGCTGTAAGTTCAGGAAAGAAAATTTTTTGGAGGTTTTTGCAAATAGCTAAGAGGACAATTTTAATGTGATAGATTCGATTTTCTTTTCAGCCCTATCAGCCGGTCGCCAGTCCTGAGAAGCCCTCTTATGTTATATTTCTTGTTTTATGTAGAGATAGTAACCAAGCCTATAGTTTTCTAGCTTGATCCCTGCTCCCTAATCTATACCCTGCTTATTTCTAATTACCATTTCGCTAACTCTGTTGTTCTTCGCTTCTTAACACCGTAATCGGTCATCACTGTCTAACCCTAGCTTGACAGTAGTGTAGGCCTATACAGGGTGTCCCAGAATAACGTGTACAACGGAAGACCACAGATTCATGGACTCAAAATAAGCAGATTTAGGCTAATTCACCTATACCCGAATAGGTTCGTTTGGCCGCTAGATGGCCTCAAAGTTCGTGAAATTTTTTGAATTTTGTAAATAACTCGAATACATGTTATTCAATTTTGATTATTTTTGGGTTGTGGACTTTTGCTTTCAATCTACACATTTTGGTGTTATACAGAGTGTTTTTTAAAACTTACAGCTCCTACAAAATTGATGTATGGTGATAATATCCGTTTATAACTTTTTCCTCTTTCAGGCAATAATGACTAGGTACTATTTTTTATTTGATAGGTGATAGGTACCATTTGGAAGTTTTTGGGCCTCTTGTAGAATTTTGATTAAATGAGCGGTTTGGGCACAAAAAATATTCTTTAAATGTCTACATTATTTTGCTTATCTTATTATTCAGTTTGATCTTTAAGTCACTGTACCTGCCAATTCTCCTCGATATGGATACAAAGACAACTAATTATTTACAACATGCCTAATCTTATTGAAATAATTAGTAAAAACAATCAAATACAATAACAAATGTTGGAGATAAAAGTAACAAAGTTGATGTTATTAGATTTAGTACAACTTATTATAAAAACTGTTCAAAATTACCACCATTGTTTCTACAACAAAGGTTAATTCGGCGAAGAAAGTTAAAAGACACCATTTGCAGTTTTTGAGGGCAATATTTTAAAACATTTATAGCAATTTGGATATGCCTCCCATAACTCTTCTTCAGTGTTAGATGTGGAAGTATACATTGTTGTTTTCAAAGTACCCCAAAGATAATAGTCGCAAGGTGTTAAGTCTGGTGAAGGAACAGGCCAGTTAACAGGAACATTATTCCCTCTACCGATCCATCGATGAGGGAATCTTTGATTCAGATACTGCCGGACATTGACAGTGAAATGTGGCGGAGCTCCATCATGCATAAACCACGTTAGCTCTGAGCAATAACGGCACACTTTCCAATAACTTGGGTAGTGTTTTGCAAAAATTCTAAACAAAATTCGCCATTCAGTCTATTGAGTAGAATAACAAGGTCAATAATAATGCAATTAGTGCGTTGTATTTGAATGTTTTTTTTTAATTTTTGAATAAAATTAGGCATGTTGTAAATAATTCTAATTCGTCGTATGTGTGTGTATCCATATCGAAAAATGAAGTAACAGGTGATA